AACACAGTCTGAAGCACATTGTGTGTGTGCTGTGTGCCTCTAATAGGGGTTGCAGACTGCCAGAAATAGTGCAAATTGAGTCCACTTTTAGGGTTAGGGTTATCGCTAGGGAATCATGGGAATTGTTTTTTTTCCTGAGACATTAAGCCTTCTCTGTCAGAGAGCTCTGGTGCCACAATAAAATACAGTTCCCATGATTCCATAACCCTAACCCTAACCCTAAAAGTGGACTCAATTTGCACTATTTCTGGCAGTCTGCAACCCCTCTAAGTCATTTTCGACTTATGGTGACCCTAAGGCTTTTCTTGGGCTTTTCTTGGCAAGATTTGTTCAGAGGAGGTTTGCCCCTCTTTGCTCAAGTTTACCCACTGGGTTTCATGGCCAAGGTAGCAATCAAACTCTGGTCTCCAGAGTCATAGCCTAATGCTCAAACTGCTATGCCATGCTGGCTCTCTAAAGAACATCAGGGCAGTGTATTAGTTTTAAAAATTCAAATATTAAACTGTTTTGATGCTTACTGATTATAGTGATGATTTCTTATGGTTTTATTATTCCATTTTATTGGTGTTTGTTACCTGCCTTGCATTCTTAATAGAAAAGAAATGTAATAATATATATTATATCTATTATAATATGTATATTATAGTAATATGCTCTATAAACATACACCATAGTTGTCGCCATTATGCTAAGATGAAATTCAACTAGCTCATGGCATACTTACACACACTGCACTATCCTAGAGAAGAGGCAGCCATACCTGACAAAGAATAAGACCTTGGAAAAGTTCCCCTTTTAAGACTACAATTCCGATACTGGCTGGAGGATTTCTGGGAGCTGTAGTGCCAAAAGAGGGGAACTTTTCCAAGCACTGCAAAAAACTCACCTCCAGGGCTTCAGGTGTGATTGGAGTGATAGAATTGCTCTTGCGTGATCCAATGCGAAACTTGGCTGCCTTGTAGATTTTCCAGTATACAAAAAGCACCACACAGAGGGGCAAATAAAATGCCCCAAAGGTGGAGAAGATGGTGTACGAAGGCTCCCGGCTGACTTGGCACTCTTCGTTGCCCTCTGAGTACGTTTCCCCCCAGCCAAAGAGCACAGGGGCCAAGGAGATGATGGCCGAGAGGAACCAAGTCAGAGCAATCATGATATTGGAGATACGTCTCCTGGTCTGCAGAGTGTATTCCAGGTGCCGGGTGATGGACCAGTAGCGATCCAAGGCAATGGCGGTGACATTCCAGATGCTAGCTGTGCAACATAGCACATCACAGGAGATCCACGCTTGGCACATCACCCTCCCCAGCCGCCAACGTCGCCCAGATAACTCATGCACCAAGCTGAGTGGCATCACCAGGGCAGCCACCATCACGTCCGAGATGGCCATAGAAGCCACCAGGTTGTGGGGCACGCGGTGGAAAGTGCGCACCCGCAAGATGGTCGCCAGCACCAGCAAGTTCCAAAGGAAGGTGGCCACCACCAACATGGCCAAAAGGGTCAAGATAAGGACACTGAATACTGACAAAGATGGGCCAATGGCCGGGAGGTCCACAGAGGAGTCAGAGCCGGTCTGGTTGGACTCTGCCAAAGTAGTGACTGAGAAGCAAGTGAAATTTGGGGACCAATCCATCATGCGGCGGTCAGCAGGGGAGCATTGCTTGGTGTAGACACCAGATAGAGATGCTTCTTCTAAATTAAGCAGCTGTCCTTTTTTACCCCCAAGATAATATCATAGTTCTGGAAAAGATGATAGATGTGTTTTATTTCAGAGCTCTGGCATGCTCCCAGTTTAGAAGAGCACCAATCTGGCAAGCGTAGGCATGGAACACACTAAGGACGCATTCGCGAACGAGTCTTAAGTCCATTTTTAAAAATGTTTTCCCCACCTGTAAATCCAACAGAAAAAGAAAAGCCATATTAATAATGAGCCTTTTGAAAATGCCTTGTAGTTGTTGTTGCTGCTGTGTGCCTTCAAGTCTTTTCTAACTTAGAGCATCCCTAAGGCAAATCTACCATAAGGTTTTCTTGGCAAGATTTGTTCAGGAGGCGATTGTCTTTGCATTCCTCTGAATCTAAGGGAGTGTGACTTGCCCAAGGTCTCCCAGTGGGTTCCCAGTGGGCCAAGCAGTGATTCCAACTCAATTCTCCCAGGGTTTCCATGGCTGGGCGGGGATTTGATCCTTTGCCTCCCAGAGTCCTACTCAACACTCAAACTTCTACACCACACTGACTCTTTAAACACAAAGCTTACTTGTCTGCTTTTCCTATAGCACCTTAGTAGCATTAACAATTCAAGGAATATACCAGTTACATGCAGCTTCTTGCAAACAATACTGCAGAAGAGTGGCATTTACAGTGGCGTAAGCAGAAGAAAAATCTCTTGCAAGCCCTGGCAAGGTGTTTGGCTGTGTAATTCCCATCCTCCTTCGTCCTCATTTGACCTTTTAGCATTGTCTGTTGGATCTTTCCCAACTTGTTGCCCACCAAATGTGTTGAACTATAGCTCCCATTTGCCCCAGCCACCACTTCAACATACCTAAAAGGATAGAATTCAAAGATATAGTTGTGTTAGTCTGTAGAACCAGTATGTAGAGAGATCTTGTAGCACCTTTGAGACTAACTGAAAGAAAGAAGGAGCTTTTGTACACTTAAGTGATTTCTTCAGAGTGGAAAGCCAGGGACAGACCTATATATACCCAGTTTCAGTCTCAAAGGTACTACAAGATTTCTCTACACCTAAAAGGCTGTAGGTTGGGGGGAGGATGCAACTCCCACTGTCCCCAGAGACTACCCACCATGCTGGCTAAGGATGATCAGCATTGTAGTCCTCTACATCTGGAAGGCACAAGGGCGGGAGCCCATTTTAAAGATACCGTGGTGAAGTCTATTATGCAATACAGAATGTATGCAAAATGTAGCATCTTTGAGACAGAAGGCCTAAGCAGACTGCCAGAAATAGTGCACATTAAATTGAGGCACTGCCCTGGCTCAGTGCTAGGGAATCATAGGAATTGTATTTTTTTCTGGGACATTGAGCCTTCTCTGTCAGAGAGCTCTGGTGCCACAATAAATTACAGTTCCCATGATTCCTTAGCCCTGAGCCAGGGCAGTGCCTCAATTTAATGTGCACTATTTCTGGCAGTCTGCTTAGGCCCTAACTGTGCAAAAGAAGTTGTAGCATAAGCTTTTGTAGACTTGGTCTATTTCCTCAGATGCATGGAGTCAACCAAGTCTACAAAATCTGAATCTGAAGAAATAAACTCAAGTCTATAAAACCTCAGAACCACAGAATCATAGAGTTGGAAAGTGCCTCATGGGCCACCAAGTCCAAACTCTGGCTGGATCTCCATCTGAAAAGCATCCCCAGCAGGTATTTGCCCAGCTTCTTTTTTGAAGACATCCTCCTCTCTAGGCAATTGGTTCCATTTGCTGAATCACTCTTACTGTCAAGAAGTTCCTTCTAATGTTCAATCAAAATCTATTCTTCTGCAACTTCAAACCATTAGGTCTGGTCCTACCCTTGGATAATATTTATGGATGACATGTATATCTTGCTCTCCTGGCCAGTTTCTCATCATGGTGAGAAGCACTCAACTGTAGCAATGCAACATCTCCATTTCTCTTCAGATTATTCCTCCGGTGCTGAAAAGAAAGCATTCCGGATCCTATTGACATATCATGCTCCCAGCTTTTTTCTTTCAGTCAGTCTCAAGGGTGCTAGAAGATCCATTGGCATTCTGATTTTCCAGACTAACAGATTCTCTCTGAATTCTACTCCCATGAGCAATGCAAAATGATCCCTCCGAGAATATACAAAGTACCTCTCCTACCCTCCTACTTAAAATGGAGAAGCAAGCCTCCCTTCCGAAAAAGGGCTCCTTGCATAGGCTTGAACCCCAACAAATAGACCCACTCACCCCACCTCTGACTGCATTGCAAGAACACAGGTATGTTAAAACAACAACACAACTCACCTTACTGCCTCTCTTTCATAACTTGGCATTTGTAAAGCAAATGAGTATTCTGACCAACACACACACACACACACACAAAATTCTGAAGGTTCCCCCCTACCCCTTTTATGCGCTGCAAAGTGACTGAAGCAATTGCCTCATCTGTAGTAACAATCTCTGAAGAGTACCTTTATCTTCAAGTGGGATGAAAGCAGCATCCTTTCTCAAGCCGGGCATCGAACATCTCTTGGGGAAGACAGTCAGCATCCAGAAAAGTGTGGTCAGACACACCTGTAACCCGCAGTCACTTCCATCCAAACCTAAGGGAGACAAAAGTTGTCACACATCCCTGCCACAGTGACTTGGGTTGAAGTGGGAGATGAAAGCAAGATGACAACCACACAAGGCATTTACACTGGCAGATGGGATCATGCAATCTTGCAAGAGGACACCCTTCACCCCCCCCCCCAAAAAAATAAACACAGAGAGCCATATAGATCACAAAGCAAGATCAAACCACCCATGCCACTGAGCTCTGCAACCAGGTGACCAACTTGTGGTTTGCAAGGTGTGCCCCACCTGGCTCCAATCCTCTGGAGAAAGAAGTTTCCAACCCCCTTACAGTAGTGAGTGAGCCTAAGGTGAACCCATCATGGGGTTTTCGTGGCAAGTTTCTTCAGAGGGGGTTTGCCCTGGCCATCCTCTGAGGCTGAGAGAGTGTCACTTGCCCAAGGTCACCCAGTGGGTTTCCATGGCCGAATCAGCATTTGAACCCCATGGAATGGGTGTGTTGTATGTTGTGTGTCTTCAAGTCGGTTCCGATTTAGGGTGATTCTAAGGAGACCCTACCCTGGGCTCAGGTTTTGTTCAGAGGAGGTTTGCCCTTGCCTTCCCCTGAGGCTGAGAGAGTATGACTTGCCCAAGGTCACCCAGTGGGTTTCCATGGCAGAATTGGGATTTGAACCCTGCTCTCCTCCAGACTCCTGGTCCAAGGCTGAGAGCAATAGCCAGACCTATAACCGTTGGTGTTGAGCAAGCCTGGGTTTAACTCAAGTGGTGCAGTGGTTTGAGTGTTGGACTACGGCTCTGGAGTGCAGGGTTCGAATCCCAGCTCGGCCATGGAAAACCACTGAGTGAGCTGTGGGAAAGTCACACTCTCTCAGCCTCAGGGGAAGGCAATGGTAAACCTCATGTGAATAACTCTTGCCAAGAAAACCCCAGGATAGGAAAACCTCATAAGTCGGGAACGACAAGAAGGGGGTCTTTCTGAGCTCCTGGGAGTCAAGGCGTGCCAGGATTGCGATCCTAAAGCGCGATCCATCTCCTCCTGCATCTTGGCTATGCCAAGAGGAGGAAAAGGAAGCCTCCCTTCCAGTCCTGTCCTTTTCAGCATGGAACCCTGCATGCAGGCGCCCATCCAGACGGTGCAAGCAGACACGTGTCCACTCGAAAGTAACCCCCCTCTCCTCCCACGGATCCCCCACTCTCAGGTCAGGACTGGAACCCCTAACCCTTGGAGGAGCTGAAAGGATTTCCTTATGCGGCTAGAGCGTTGGATTGTCGCCCTGAAGACCAGGGTTCGAGTCCCACCCAGCTCAGCCGTGGAAACCCACTGGGTGACCTTGGGCGACTCACACTCTCTCAGCCTCAGGGGAAAGCAAGGGCAAATCTCCTCTTAACAAAACAAAAGGGTCGCCCTAAGTCGAGTGACTTGAAAGCATACAGCACCATCTATTTACTTACTGCGTTGCAGAGGGGCGGGATATAAATTATTATTATTTATTATTATTTTACTTGGGAGCCACCGAGGAGGACTGGTTTCAGCACTGAGCTCACTCTGGAGAGTAGGGTTCGAATCCCCAGTCAGTCACACTCTCTCAGCCTCGGGGGAAGACAAGGGCAAACCTCCTCCGAACAAAACCTGAGCCCAGGGTAGGTCCTCCTTAGGGTCGCCCTAAATCGGAACCGACTTGAAGGCACACAACACACAGCACATCTATTCCATGAGGTTCGAATCCCGATTCTGCCATGGAAATGAACTGGGTGACCTTGGGCAAGTCACACTCTCTCAGCCTCAGAGGATGGCCAGGGCAAACCGGCTCTGAAGAAATGGGAACCCACCCATCCCCATTCTCAGCTCAGGATTGGAACCCGAGCCCTTGGCGGTGCTGAAAGACTCGCGTAGTGGTTGGCGCGTTGCGGACTACGACTCTGGAGGAGCAGGGTTCGAGTCCCAGCTCAGCCATGGAAACCCACTGGGTGACTTTGGGCGAGTCACACTCTCTCAGCCTCAGGGGAGGGGAAGGAAGGGAGGGGCAAACCTCCTCTCAGAGGAGTCAGCAACGACCTGAAGGCAGAAGACAGACGCGATACAACATACCCATTCCGTGATGGGATCCACCAGTCTCAGGTCAGGATTGGAACCCAAGCCCTTGGAGGTGCTGAAAGGCTTCTCCATCCCCACCGTTCGCGAGGAAAAGGAACCAGCCTCGGATCGGGCAACCGGACCCAAAGGGCAGAGCCTGCCTTTCCCCGCTTCTTCCCGGAGGAAGGAGAAAGAGGCTGCAGGTAAGGCTCTCTCTACCTGCCTTGCCTTGCCTTTGCCTTTGCCTTTGCCTTTGGCTTCCTCTGCCTCTGCCTCCGCCTTCGAGGAAGAGAGATAGAGAAGGCGAGGCGGAGCCTCTGACGTCCAGGCAAGACCCATCATCCACACCCCGGCCCCCTTTCCACCAGCCACCCCCCTTCCCTGCATCTACACTGCATGCAGCAGTCACCCGCTTTGACACCGCTTTAACTGCCAGGTGCCGCAACGGACTACGCTTCCCAGAATTCCATCGCCTTGAGCCCTGGCAGTTAAAGCGGTGTCAAAGCGGGTGACTGCTGCATGCAATGTGGATGTAGCCTCGGAGACAAAGAAGACCCAGGGCGAGACTCCGCAGCGCCGGCGGAGAAGAAACCGAAATCTCCCTCTTCTTTCTTTTTTTCCTTCTTTCCTTTCCTTTCCTTCCCTTCCCTGTCCCTTTTCCTTCCTTTCCTTTCCTCCTTTGCTTCTTTCATTCTTTCTTAGCTTCTTTCTTACCTCCCTTCCTCCCTCTCTTCTTTCCCTTCCCTCCCTCCCTCCCTTTC